CCCCCAGAACTGTGAGAAACGAATTTCCATTGTTTATAAGCCACCCGTCTGTGGTGTTTTGTTAGAGCAGCCTGAATGGACTGAGACACTAAGTAACTTGTTGACTCTACACAACACATTGGAAAGCGTGCACGTGTTCATTGGGGAAGCCGGGTAGCACGCTGGAAGGGGCTTTGGACTGGGAGCGGGTCATCTGTCATCTGCCCTTTGTTCAAGGTCAACCTTGGTGGAAGGCTCTTGCTCCACCCCAGTTCCTACCTTTATCTTGGGAGATGCCTGATCCAGAGGGCATCTTCTCAGCTCCTGGCATCCTCGTTTCCAAGAACCTCTCCTCTGCTGACCTCTTGCACACTCCTCCGTGGCCACTTCGTCACCGGCAACTGCTCCGTCTTGAAATCTGTTCAAACAAATTTGGGGCACGAGTTCCTCCCTCTCCAGCTTGCTGGTGTGCTTGCCCCCACTCTGACCTTGCTGGATCTCAGCAGGACCTCTCTGTTCCCTTGGGCCCCTCCCGTGATCATCTCCTTCCCTGTATTTAGCTTGGAGCCCACAGTCCATCATTTCAAGCTCTCTCTTGCTAGCACCCGCTTTCAAATGTTTTGAACCTTAATCTACAGTAAGGAATATAATTTACATACGACCTCTGACTCATACGTACATATATTTTTACACATACATACAAACCTGCATAGACCTCTCCCAACTTTAAAACAATCATAATTATTTAAAAATCTCTCCCTGGACATCAGTTCTTACGACTACAGCCTTATTTCTCTCCTTATCTTCACCAAGTTGTAAGGGTCATCTGTATAAACTCTTAGTTTCCTGTGGCTGCTTTAACAAATGATTACCCAGCACAGGCTTATTCTCTTACAGTTCTGGAGGTCAGAAGTCTAAAATCAAGGTGTTGGCAGGCCTGCATTCCTTCTGGAGGCTTCAGGGCACAATCTGTTTCCTTGTCTTTTCTAGTTTCTAGAAACTGCCTACATTTTTTGGCTCATGGCTGCCCCATTCCAACCTCTGGTTCTGTTGCCACACCTCCTTCTTCTGACTTTGACCTTCTTGCCTCCCTCGTACAAGGACCCTTGGAATTATACTGGTCCCTCCCAGATCAGCCAGGATCATCTTGCCATCTCAAGATCTTTAACTTAATTATAACTGCCAAGTCCCTTTTATAATGTAAAGCAACATATTTATAGGTTCTGGGGACTGGTCCCTGTGGACATTTGCGGTGGCAGGCATTATTCTGTCTACCAGGTGAACCATCTTAGATTTCCTTAACTTCCACTCCCTTTCAGCCTTTTCTAAACAGGCTTCTGTTCCCCACTCACCATCCCAAATGCCTCTCCAAATGGTCCTTGATGCCCTCCATGTTGCTGAAAGCAGTGGGCAGTTCTAACTATCCTTCTTTGGACCTCTTAGCAGCTTCTGACATAGTCGGCCAATCAGAATGGGGCATGGAAAGCACCTATGGGGGCCATAAGGTGGGCGGGCCAATGGCTTGTCCTCATGAGGGTTTCCTGCTGTCACTATGGAGGAGGATCTAGTGCGGATGGGATGGGGTCAGCTGCAGAAAACGGGGTTCCATGGCTCTCCATGCCCTATAAATCAGCCACAGGCTCCACAGTATCTAGACTTTCTTTATTAGTGTAAATATTGGTCACAAAACTGCAGGTAAAGGTTTTTTAAACAAACATTTATCTACCAATGAAAAAGTACACAGATCCTAAGTGCGTAGCTGGGTGAACTTTCACAAACTAAAGCACATATCCACCCTTCAGGTCAAGAAACAAAGCTTTGCCAGCACACACGCACTCCCTGTCACGTCCCCTCCCTGTCACCTAACCCCTCTCTTCCCAAAGGTCGTGCTATCCTGGGGAGGCATAGGTGGTTTTTAAAATTTTTGCCCTTTTAAATAGACTTTCTTTCTGAGAAGTTTTAGGTTCACAGCAAAATTGAGCAGAAAGTTCAGAGATTTCCCATATATCCCTTTCCCCCCCGACCCCGCACACACAGCCTTCCCTACTGTCATCATCCCACACCAGCAGTGCATCTGTTACAATCAGTGAACCTGCTTTGACACCTGATTATCACCCAGAGTCCATAGTTTACACTAGGGTTCACTCTTGATGTTATACATTCTTTGGGTTTTGACAAATGTATCATGATATGTATCCCCCAGTATAGTATCAGACAGAATGGTTTCATTGCCCTAAAATTCCCCTGTGCTTCACCTATTCATCCCTCTCTCCCCCCAGACCTCTGGCCACCACTAATGTTTTCACCATCTCCACAGTTTCGCCTTTTCCTGAACGCCATATAGTTGGAATCACACAGTATGGAGCCTTTTCAAATTGGCTTGTTTCACTTAGTCATATGCTTTTGTTTCCCCTGTGTCTTTTGTGGCTTCATAGCTCATTTCATTTAGTGCTGAATAATATTCCATTGTTGGACCTAGGCATAGGTTTTCGAAGAAGGCATTGGACCGCGTCTAGAGTAAGCTTCACTGCGGAAATATCTTCTTTGAACTTGTATTAGTGTTAGGACTGATGTACGCGGAAGGAGGCTCCCCTCCCCCCTCAAAGTGCAGAAGGGCCTAAAAGACCTGGAGTTAGTCAATTCTGTGCATTGAGCTTCTGCCTCCAGAATATCACTCAGAATGTGAATACGGTATGCAGGGGGGCTCGGGCCACTGTGCTGCATCGTGTTGTGTTTTGCTGTAAATGGTCCCACGGACATCAAGTTTGTTTACTGGGTACAGAGTACATGACAAATAGGGTGAAGAAAGGTGATGGCCCGAACACAGCAGAAGTTTCTTTCTCACTCATGTGACAATCTGTGGAGCAGGCAGCAATTCCCTCTGTGAATCCAGGACCCAGGCCCCTTCCGTCTTGTGGCTCCACCTGCCCCAAGGCCTTATCATCACCTTCATTTAGCCAGAGTAACACATGGCCTTTTGAACAGACCTTAAGCATGAAGCTGAGGTCATGCTCCCAGAATTAATTTAACATTTCAGTCAGCTGATCATCTCTATGAGTGATGTGTGATGGACAAGAAAGTTTTAATGGCAAAGCTAAAGCACGAGGGTACCAGTCTGGGAAGCCTCAGGGTGGGTGCTGGCCTGGGGGCAGCCTAAGGGCCACCGTGAGTTCCCTGGTGTGGCTCATCTCAGCTCATAATGCTGAGATCCCACAAATGATCTTGTACAAATCAAATCATGGCTTAATCAGGGCTCACCTGTGTATCCTACAGGATGACACTGACCTGGGGCCCTAGGACCACCAAGGGGCCTCTTCCTGGCCCCTCTTGGTGCCCTGAGGGGTTTGAGTGACCTTATGAGTGACAGCATTTCACCAAGCAGGACCTTGACTCACATGCCTGCTGCCTGATGGCAGTTTTGCTGCTCAAGCTAGACTTTGCTTCTCTAAGCAAAGTTAAATCAGGGTAGCTGGTGTCTTGGCCTTTCTTATGATGATTGTCATGGGCGGGAAGAAAAAGAAGGAGTCACAGTGAAAGACCTACAGTCTGGATGCAGTGTGCTGTCAAGGGCGCCCGGTCTCCATCTTCAGGTGGGCAGGTGTGGATTGGCTGGTGTGCCCACTGTACGGCAGAGCATCTCAGTCCCTTTTCTCTGACTGTCAGGGAAGCCCAGGGAGCTGGACTGGGTGCCTTTTGCAGAGCATTGCGGCCCGGAGAGGATTTTGAAAGCCAAGCAGGACTAGCTGGAACATGGCCTGGCCGTGTGGGAACTGGGGAGCTCTAAGGCTGCCTTCCTACACTCTCCCCCTGCCCCCCCAGAGGCCGAAGGCTGCCAGACCGTCTCCCACACACTTCTCCAGAAAGTCCCTGGCTTCCCTCCCAGCCGCCTTGCGACTGACCTCGTGAGGTGTGAGAAGGAGGAAAGGAATCTTTGTTTCAGATGAACCTTCCCTCTTCCTTCCTGAGAAAACATCCAGGCCGCCAGCGCTCCTCCGAGCCTGAGGCCCTGCTCAGCTCAGCCAGCCAGCTGGAGTCGCAGGGATCGGGAGCCTGTATGAGTTTGCCGGGGCTGCTGTAACAAATGACCACTAACTTGAGTGACTGAAAACAACAGAAATACATTCTCTCAGACTTCCAGAGGTCAGAAACCTGAGATCAAGGCATCCGGAGGGCCGTGTTGTCTCTGAAGTTTCTAAGGAAGAGTCTTTCCTCGCCTCTTCCAGCTCCTGGTGGCTCCCAGCAATCCTTGGTGTTCTTGGCTTGTACAAACATGGCTGTTTCCCTCTGTGTCTCTTCTCTTCTCATCAGGACACAGGTCATACAGGATTAAGGGCCTTTCTTACTCCAGTCTGACCTCATCTTAACTAATTATGTCTGCAACGACCCTATGGCCAGATAAGGTCACATTCTGAGGTTCCGGGTGAACATGAATTTGGGGGGATGGGACACTATTTGACCCATAACAGAGCCCCACCATCCTCCCCTTCCCTTCCCTTCAGAGAAGGCCCTTATCCCATGCAGGGGGCCTGCCTTGTTTTCTTCTCCAGGACTGAGGCAGGCCCAGGAGTGGTTTCCTAAAATAAAACGGCATCCCCTCGCCCCAGGAAGGCCTGGCCCAGCTAGTGGGAGATCAGAGAACCCGAGTCTCCCCCAGGACAGGCATCTACATGCCCAAGGGACACCTACTCGCAATTTTTTCCTGCTTTATAGAGATGCTTCGGGACTTCATGGCTCCTGGCCCGTCCTTTAGTGCTTCCTGGAGGGAAGGAGCCCTTGGAGGCTTGCAACAGGTCATTCCAGACCAAGGTTTCAGGCCCAGACGGAAAAACGAGCATCCGCTCCCTCCGCCCCAGCTCCCGGCCTGTCTGGTGTCCTGTCCAGGGAGCAGCTGAGGAGGCCCCGCCCACACCTTCCTCACTGACCAGTTCCTCCCTCCGGGGAGCCGGGGTCCTCCTGCCCCAAAATCCATGAAGGAGTGGTGAGCTCCTGGGCCTCTTGTAACCCGGCTGCATATTTTCCAGGTTACCTAACCAAACTCCTGCAAAACCACACCGCCTATGCCTGTGATGGGGACCATCTGGATCTGCACTGCCCTTGGCATTCGACCATAAGTGTCCAATCGGCATTTTATGGGCAAGATTACCAAACGTGTAGTGCGCAGCAGCCTGCCTCTCAGAGAGAAGACAGCTTAACCTGTGTGGCGCCCACCACACTGCAGGTATTGCCTTTCATAGATGGTTTAAGATGACAAAATGGGTTTCTCTCTCTCTCCCTCTCTGTCTCTCTCTCTGTATACATACTTGTGATTCTATAGTGTACTCAAAGCAAACCCGCTCCATGAAAATCTCAATGGAGGCAAATCACGAATTTTGCAGGCGAGCTAGTCTTTGCTTCTCAAAAGGATTCTTTACCAAACGAGTCTAAATAGAATTCCTGCTTATTGGAGAGCTCCCTTAATACGCTTGCAGAACGAAGTTATTCATAGGCACACTCCTCCCTGCAATAAAGTAAAGTACCATCATGTTGGGCTTAACCTCCAGGCCTACGTGGCCTATCAGTACCCCGGGAGAGAGGAAAGGCTGTGCATTCTTCAGTGGAAACCACAAGGCAGACATCAGAAGTCATGATCAAATTCTTAGAGAATGCACTCAAGGAAGGGGAATATCACTAATTATCTTTCTTATTTTTTTTTTTTTTTTTTTTTTTTTTTTTATGGCTTTGCTTCTCCAGTTGTAGATAATCATGTTATTCTTGTTTGGAGCTATTTTGGGCAGTTTCTGCTGGTTCGTCCTTGATAGTACCAGGAATTAGGGGTTGGGGGTGGCTGACTCATTCTTTTTTCAGTCGGCATTGGGGAAATATGTGGTCTACGGGGAGGTCAAAACTAATATCACAATGATGATTTTAGACTATTCTGGCTTTAAATTATCCAAACAACCTCTATTCTGCTCTCCCAGGCCCCTCAACATTTATAACTAGTTAGCTAAGATTATAGAGTCACTTGGCCTTGGATTTTTTTAATGCCTCCAAAGTTCCCTATGAATCCATTGGAGTCACGGTGGTTAGAGCAGATAGGTGGCAAATTAGATGTCAGCTTGATTTTGTCAGTTGTGGGAAATGTGGGTAATGGTAAATTTCCTAGGAGGACTGAGGAGAAATGGAATTAGCTCTAATGCTGTGCAGCTCTCCCTAAGGCCGGAAGAGGAGAAGCAAACATAAAATGATCATGTAAGGATTTTTCTATTTTGTCTACTATTTATTGCTTCCAAGCTAAGCGTTGTAGTACCTGGGTGGTCATGTGATTGGTAAAGACACCAACTGAGGAGCCAGAAGAATGTGTTTGAATGAATCCCCTGGTTTCCACACCATGAGGAGAGACAACGTGTGTCTTCTGGAGACAAGCAGCTACTTTACTTGTGTGCCCCACCCTACCCCCAATCCTTCCCTGTACCTTGAGAATGTTCCCTTTCCTCCCCCCAACACTCTTGCCCACTTATCCCTGGTACCCAGGCTTTCTGCTGCCCTCCTAGGCACATAAAAAGAACATGGCCAGTGCCACCAGGGCGGCAGTGCCTGCTTTGTGAACGTATGAACTCCTGGCATCCTGTGGTTCCAAAACACGGGCACCTCGTCCTCCAACACGGGCACCTGCCTCTGCCAGGCATCCCTGAGGGAAGAGGATGTTGCCATAACCGGGCAGTCAAGTCAGAATTTGTGAACATAATTCTGATGTTGTGCGGAGGGTTTGTTTGCCAGAAACATCCCCCCGCGCTAGGAGATCCTTTACTTTGTCTTTTAACCTGTGTTTGGGAGCTGAGGCAAGGTGCTTCCTCAGGGGGCAGTTGCTTAACGTAGGAGAGAACAGGTTGATGTCCACACAGGAGCACCTCACCTGATCTGGCCCACGACTAAATGGCTGTAGGAAGTCCCTTCTCTGCAATTTCCAGCTGGAATACAGTTTGGAAAGAGCTCTGCCCTTGGCTCCCATTCCATGGCTGTAACACGAAGAGCCATCCAAGGGCTGAGTTATTTCACGATACCCTCGGCCATGGAATATGCACCATCATCTGGGGGTCCTTGGGGTTTCCCTGGGCATTTTTCCTGATTTTATGCACATCCACGGGGCCCCGGAGGTGACAGGGGATACCTAGTAGGGCCAGCATCCTTCACGGAGATATTCCATGAGCCACTATGAGAACATGGCGACTCAGACAGGCTCGTGAATCTGCACTAAATTCAGTTCCATAGTAATAAGTAGATTCTTGGGAACATTTTTACTGTACTTGGTGTGGACGACCTCTGTGTTTGTCGTCGGCAGGGCCTGATCCGTTTGTGAGCTGGAAGGGCAGCAGCGTGACGCTGGCCCATCTGCGACCCAGTATTGGGCGTTCCCCTAGCTTCCACAGAGCAGACTCACTCACAAAGGTGTGATCTGCCTGGAAAAGGTCGGGAGAGATTTGAAGGAAAGCTTTTTTTATTTTTATTTTTATGAAGGAAAAATTTTAAGCCAAATGCTCAACAGAAAGCCTGCATATTCCACCCAGAAAATTGCTCCACTAGGAAAAGTGGGTCCCACATCCTTGAGGTTAGCGAGGGTGGGAATCAGCTTTTTTTTTTTTTTTTACATCTTAATTGTAGCATAATTGCTTTACAATGGTGTGTTAGTTTCTGCTTTATAACAAAGTGAATCAGTTATACATATACATATGTTCCCATATCTCTTCCCTCTTGCGTCTCCCTCCCTCCGCCCCCCATCCCCCCCCTCTAGGTGGTCACAAAGCACCGAGCTGATCTCCCTGTGCTATGCGGCTGCTTCCCGCTAGCTATCTATTTTACGTTTGGTAGTGTATATATGTCCATGCCACTGTCCCACTTTGTCACAGCTTACCCTTCCCCCTCCCCATATCCTCAAGTCCATTCTCTAGTAGGTCTGTGTCTTTATTCCCGTCTTACCCCTAGGTTCTTCATGACTTTTTTTTTTTCCTTAGATTCCATATATATGTGTTAGCATACGGTATTTGTTTTTCTCTTTCTGACTTACTTCACTCTGTATGACAGACTCTAGGAGGAATCAGGCTCCCTGACTTCAGACTATACTACAAAGCTACAGTAATCAAGACAGTATGGTACTGGCACAAAAACAGAAATATAGATCAATGGAACAGGATAGAAAGCCCAGAGATAAACCCATGCACATATGGTCACCTTATCTTTGATAAAGGAGGCAAGAATATACAGTGGAGAAAAGACAGCCTCTTCAACAAGTGCTGGGAAAACTGGACAGTTTTCTCATAAAAGTATGAGATTAGAACACACCCTAACACCATACACAAAAATAAGCTCAAAATGGATTAAAGACCTAAATGGAAGGCCAGAAACTATCAAACTCTTAGAGGAAAACATAGGCAGAACACTCTATGACATAAATCACAGCAAGATCCCTTTAGACCCACCTCCTAGGGAATCAGCTTTTTAATTTTCATTAGTTGGCCTGTGTTTGGGTTGGGGTCTCCAAGGCGTCCCCCAGATGCTGAGCTCCCCTGTGGCCAGCGTCAGGTGTTTCTAAGGATGAGGAGCTGTGATTACGATTCCCGCTCCCCAGAGCCCTCTGTCAGCTTTAAAACCAGGGATCCCTCCCAGAAGGGGGCCTCCGAGTCCCCTCCAGTCCACACTCCACAGTACCCTGATTTTGCTCCCATCCCTGGGAGCCTCCGTGATGCAGCACTCTTGCCAAAACTGTCAGCAGTGGTGCCAGGTGAGCCAAATAGGAGCTGGTTTTCTGTGGGAGGCCTGGCACTCTTGGAGCAGGTTTCGTTTTGGGGGAGACATGGGGAGACAGGCAGCCGACATGGTCAGCCGCGTGCGGGTGCTTCCATCTTAGACACAGCTGGTACCAGCAAGAAGGTTTTAAAACGTGAGCCCCAGGCCAGGCAGGCAGGTGCCCTTCCTCCTGAGAGCCCAGAGCAGGCTAGGTGTGGAGTCTCGCAGACACTGTGTGTGGTTCTCAAGCCTATCCCTTTTCTACCCCCTCATTTTAGAAGGTGCTGGACGAATGCCAGAACCAGCGGACCTGCCACCTCCTGGTCAATAGCCGTGTTTTTGGACCTGACCTTTGTCCAGGAAGCAGTAAATACCTCCTGGTCTCCTTTAAATGCCAACCTAGTAAGTAACTTGTGAGGGGCACGGCATGTGCAGGGGGTGGGTTCCCTGACGACAATGCTCCGCCAGCTGACGTTCGTCCAGCTTTGAAACTCTTGTCCATAGGAATGTCGGGGCCCCATCCCACCTGCTTTTTTAGTTTGTGTGTATTTGTGTGCGTGTTGTGTGCGCACGCGCACCAATCTGTGTGCATTCTTGCAAATCCCTGAATTTTAAAAAATCCTTCCTAATATGTAAAACTTGGTTGTACTGATGCTAAAAATGCCAGGTAACAAGAGACTGCAATGGCTTTTCCCCAACATGAGGAGCTGGATCTCCTTTTCAGAGGAAGGCTTGTTATGAGGCTCCCCCTCCCCCGGCTGCAGGGCAACTTATTTTTCTGAGGGGGCTGGTGGCACAGCTGCCACCTGAGCCCACGATTCCAGATCTTTGCAGACTGGCTTCTACCCACTTCTACCTTCAGCGGGGGCTCCTGAAACAGCATGTTTCCTAAGGAGAAAGAAAGAAGAATAGGACTTGGCGGGAGCAGGCTCTTCTATTCTCATTCTTGCACTTCTCTCCACTAACTTTCGCCATTTCTAACGCACACCCGTTTTGTGGTTAACCCACTGCAGGCTAAAAATAATTGCTGTTCCATGAGGAGGTCACACCTCCAGGCGTGGAGGGTCTGCCTGAGAGAAGCCATAGGTAATTACGGGTTCCTGGTAATACTTGGAAAACTTGTTGAAAGACAGCAGTGTTCTAGCAACATTTAGCCAAATGTCAGGGATAATAATTTGTAAAATCTGTACTGCCACAGCAATGCAACCGTTCTCATTGTTTTGCATCTTGTTCTGTGTTGGTTTCTGCCTCTGGAGCCCAGCATCTCCCAAGACACTGGTGGCCTGGGTTCCTGTGGTGGGTGAGGCATCAGCCATACGCATGGAACGGTCTCCGGCACACGTCTTCAGGGAAAGACCTGGATGCTTTGGCAAATATCCAGGCTTCTGTCTCGAATCCTCTCCTTGCGGGGACCCAGATACCTTAGAACGGCCCTATGGCTCAGCGCCCCTACTCTGCCTCCAAACATACACTCAAACTCACTCATACTCACACGTGCACCCATGTACACACTATCACACACTCATAATGCACACGATATCACACACGATGCACACGCCTGGACTCTCACACGTATACACTATCGCACCCATGCACACTATTATACACATACGCACTGTCACACATGTAGTCATACCACATACACACACTCACTCACAAGTACACACAATCACAAGCTCTCACAAGCAGGCCCAAAGTTTGCAGAACAGCCTAAACTCCCCTGCTCCCCACCCAGGAATTCTCACCAACTCCTGCCCTACCCCGCAGACTCAGGAAGATCACTTCTAGATCCCCACGTTTTTAGTGGCATCCTCCCTCTGCTGAATCTCAAAAAATGACCACACCCCCTAGGGCTTCCCTTGTGGCGCAGTGGTTGAGAGTCCGCCTCCCGATGCAGGGGACACGGGTTCGTGCCCTGGTCCGGGAAGATCCCACATGCCGCAGAGTGGCTGGGCCCGTGAGCCATGGCAACGGGAGACCACAACAGGGAGAGGCCCGCATACCGCAAAAACAAACAAACAAACAAAAAATGACAACGCCCTGGCCATGGTTTTGGCCACGCCCTTGGCCTCACCCTTGACTGCCTTAGCTTTCCCTTCTTTTTCTCTTCTGCCCGTTTATTGTGATATTCTCTCACATTTTCTATATGTTGGAAATAGTTCATAATAAAAAGTTGGACAGAACCAGCCTTTAGAAGAAGTGAAAAGACCCTTATGAAATTGGCAGGACCCTGGATAAGCCAGTGCTGGACCACAGCCTTGTTTCTACAGTGGGCAGTTAGGTCTGTTTGCTAATTTTATTTCCTCAAACACTTATTAAGCACTTGCTGTGCACAGATGTGGGCCACGTTTTGGTTATGAAGAGAACTCACATCTCACAGAGGATTCCTGGATGGTGGTTCTGTCTTGGGTGATTTCCAATGTCCCTTCATAAAGCGAGCATTTATTGAGATCTTCACATAGCCAGTTGCTTCTCACCCTTTAGATTCTAGGCCAAAGAGCTCCTTTCTCCAGAAGGACCTTCTCTGTCCAAAAAAATATCTAAAGAAGACCTCTGCGCCCTTGGTACTGTGCAAGCAGCTCACAGGAGGAATTGACCTCGTCAGGAACTCAGGGAAGGCTTTCCCGGCAGATGGTGACAACCTTCTGGGGTAGAGTCAGGGCACAGAAAGCTGACTCCTTACAGAGGCCTGTGGCAGGGGTGGCACAGGGTGGTGCGGGGGCTGGAAGGAGCAAAAGGAGCCCTAGGCAGAGAGCTGGAGCACGATCCAGGGCCCTGATGGCCAGGGAAGGGGGTGGAGTCTTCCTGTAGGGCAGCATTGAAGCAGGGAGGCTCCTCGGCTGGGGTGGTAGAGGCTCCTCTGGCTGCCCTGTAACAGATTTGAGGGGCAGAGCCCTTGCATCTTAGTCTGTTTGAATTGCTACAACAAAATGCCATAATTTAAGTGGCTTATAATCAACAGAAATTCATTTCTCTCAATTCTGGAGTGCTGGGAAGGCCAGGATCAAGGTGCAGATTTGGTACCTGCTGAGGGCCTGCTTCCTCATAGGTGGCTTGTCCTTTTCGCTCTAACCACACGGCGGAGGGGCGAGGAATCTCTCTGGGGTCTCGTGTACCAGAGCACGGATCCCATTCATGGGGGCTGCGCACTCATGACCTCATCACCTCCCAAAAGCCCCACCTCCTGATACCATCACACGGGCATCAGGATTTCAGCATATGAATTGTATGAGGACACGAACATTCAGACCAGAGCCCCTGGGCTTCGCTGGTGGTGCAGTGGTTAAGAATCCGCCTGCCAATAACCCCCTAGGGCTTCCCTTGTGGCGCAGTGGTTGAGAGTCCGCCTCCCGATGCAGGGGACACGGGTTCGTGCCCTGGTCCGGGAAGATCCCACATGCCGCAGAGTGGCTGGGCCCGTGAGCCATGGCAACGGGAGACCACAACAGGGAGAGGCCCGCATACCGCAAAAACAAACAAACAAACAAAAAATGACAACGCCCTGGCCATGGTTTTGGCCACGCCCTTGGCCTCACCCTTGACTGCCTTAGCTTTCCCTTCTTTTTCTCTTCTGCCCGTTTATTGTGATATTCTCTCACATTTTCTATATGTTGGAAATAGTTCATAATAAAAAGTTGGACAGAACCAGCCTTTAGAAGAAGTGAAAAGACCCTTATGAAATTGGCAGGACCCTGGATAAGCCAGTGCTGGACCACAGCCTTGTTTCTACAGTGGGCAGTTAGGTCTGTTTGCTAATTTTATTTCCTCAAACACTTATTAAGCACTTGCTGTGCACAGATGTGGGCCACGTTTTGGTTATGAAGAGAACTCACATCTCACAGAGGATTCCTGGATGGTGGTTCTGTCTTGGGTGATTTCCAATGTCCCTTCATAAAGCGAGCATTTATTGAGATCTTCACATAGCCAGTTGCTTCTCACCCTTTAGATTCTAGGCCAAAGAGCTCCTTTCTCCAGAAGGACCTTCTCTGTCCAAAAAAATATCTAAAGAAGACCTCTGCGCCCTTGGTACTGTGCAAGCAGCTCACAGGAGGAATTGACCTCGTCAGGAACTCAGGGAAGGCTTTCCCGGCAGATGGTGACAACCTTCTGGGGTAGAGTCAGGGCACAGAAAGCTGACTCCTTACAGAGGCCTGTGGCAGGGGTGGCACAGGGTGGTGCGGGGGCTGGAAGGAGCAAAAGGAGCCCTAGGCAGAGAGCTGGAGCACGATCCAGGGCCCTGATGGCCAGGGAAGGGGGTGGAGTCTTCCTGTAGGGCAGCATTGAAGCAGGGAGGCTCCTCGGCTGGGGTGGTAGAGGCTCCTCTGGCTGCCCTGTAACAGATTTGAGGGGCAGAGCCCTTGCATCTTAGTCTGTTTGAATTGCTACAACAAAATGCCATAATTTAAGTGGCTTATAATCAACAGAAATTCATTTCTCTCAATTCTGGAGTGCTGGGAAGGCCAGGATCAAGGTGCAGATTTGGTACCTGCTGAGGGCCTGCTTCCTCATAGGTGGCTTGTCCTTTTCGCTCTAACCACACGGCGGAGGGGCGAGGAATCTCTCTGGGGTCTCGTGTACCAGAGCACGGATCCCATTCATGGGGGCTGCGCACTCATGACCTCATCACCTCCCAAAAGCCCCACCTCCTGATACCATCACACGGGCATCAGGATTTCAGCATATGAATTGTATGAGGACACGAACATTCAGACCAGAGCCCCTGGGCTTCGCTGGTGGTGCAGTGGTTAAGAATCCGCCTGCCAATACAGGGGACACGGGTTCGAGTCCTGGTCCGGGAAGATCCCACATGCCGTGGAGCAACTAAGCCCGTGCGCCACAACTACTGAGCCTGTGCTCTAGAGCCCACGAGCAACAACTACTGAAGCCTGTGCTCTAGAGCCCACGAGCCACAACTACTGAGCCCGTGAGCCACAACTACTGAGCCCGTGAACCTAGAACCCACCGCAATGAGAATCCCATGCCCCGCAACAAAGAGTAGCCCCCACTCACCACGACTAGAGAAAGCCTGCACTCAGCAGCGAAGACCCAACACAGCCATAAATAAATAAATAAATAAAAGAAACCAGAGCCCCTCGTGTGACCTGGACATTGGTGGCCTAAAGCACTGCCGTTCAGGTGGCAGCACCTATTGCTGCTATGAAGTAGGTGTGGAAGTGAGGTCCCCGCACCCTCCTGCCTCTTTTTCTGCAACCCTGTCACCTCCTGAGGCTCTTCTCCATGGCCCCAGTTCCAGCCCCTGCATGACGCTCTAATGGTCCAAAGGCCCCACGGCTGCACCCAGGTACGCATGGAGCCAGCTGTTACCGTGAGAGCCAGTTATTCCCATCTCTTCCCAGCCGTGCCTGTGTGCAGTGAAATCTGCCCTGATGGAAATACTTACACCAGGGAAACTGGCTAAGGCTACAAATCAGGGCTTACTTGTATGTTTGTTTTTTGGAGAGTATTTTACTAACAATCCTCACTAGAATCTTCTTTCACTTCCTCCCTAAATACCATCCCTTCAGAGAATTTTGGTTTCAGTGAGTCTTTGAATTTAGGGTTCATGTTCCTGTCTGCTGAGGAGCTGCTGTGTGACCTTGGGCAGTGGAGGGAAACTTTCTGAGGCTCCATCACTCAATTATAAAATGAAGATAAAGCACCCTCTACCTAGGGCTGTTGTAAAGACTAAAATTACAGTGCTGTACGTAAAATGCTTAGCGCAGCACCTGTCATGGAGTTGAGCTCAGCGATTGGTACTATTATTCCAAGAGGCAGATTAAAGTAATTCTTGCTAAAGATGTGAATGACTGAAAGGCAGTGATATACCAATGGCTGGGGGTGCAGCGGGGTGCGATCTGCCCTGAGTGCAGGCAATAGCAGGGTGCACTGTCTGCTGAGAATTTAAAAACACAATAGAAGAGACCAAGTATCTGTCTGCATGTTAACATTGCCATGCACTGGCAGTCATAAATAATGTCAATAATAACATGTTCCCATCATGGCAGATCACTCCACATGCCCATCTTTGAAAGGCCACTGCTGATATGCAGATGTGTCTATGCATTGTTTTTTGTTTGTTCGTTTGTTTTTATAAATTTATTTATTTATTTATTTATTTTTGGCTGCTTTGGGTCTTCGTTGCTGCGCGCGGGCTTTCTCTAGTTGCGGCGAGCGGTGACTACTCTTCGTTGCGGTGCGCGGACTTCTCATTTCGGTGGCTTCTCTTGTTGCGGAGCACGGGCTCTAGAGCACAGGCTCAGTAGTTGTGGCACACGGGCTTAATTGTACCGCGGCATGTGGGATCTTCCCAGGTCAGGGCTCGAACCTGTGTCCCCTGCATTGGCAGGCGGATTCTTAACCACTGCGTTACCTGGGAAGTCCATATGCATTGTTAAAGAGGAATGCATGGCACACAAAGACCTCTAATTAGGAGAGAGAATTTGTTGCTGTTATCCTTTAAGCAGAGTCGTGGTTATACCTCTACCCGGGCTCCTGGGTCAACCATCCAAACCCACAGAGATGTTGGCAACCCGTTTCTGGAAGGCTGCCCACACTCTAACCCAGCTCTAACACAAATTCTAGTTCTCTGAGAAAAGCAGCAGTTATGTTAATGGTCCCATTGTTTTTAGAACCCAGAAATGTCACTCTTAAGGTGACAGTGAATTAGTACACTCCCAAGGAACCAAAGGACTCAACATCATACAGCGGTAACCTCCAAGCACATAATGTGACACTCCCAGGCCCCTCCATTCCAGGAGATGATTTACCCATATTCTGGGGACAGAAATCACTGGAGGCCTTACATGGGAGTGTCATGTTACTCTGAGTGAGTTTGGCTGGTACCGAGGCTGGCACCTTTCATGAACGTGTCTTAATAAATCAGAGAGATGGGGGCTTCTAAATGCGTTTCATGACATGCCTTAAAAACGCTCATCTAATGTTTAAAAATTCTGATAAAAAAAGAAAGAAACCATTCCTGTTGAAAAGTTTCCGGATTACAGAGATAAGGCTTGCTTTCTGTCCTGTTTTCTCCCTTCTCCTTTTTAGCAAGCTCTGCCAGTGGAAGGCAGTTCACCAAAAATTCTTAGCATTTTTGGTATTCTTCTAGTTGGAAGGGTGCTTGAGCTCTTTTGGTGTGTCTACTAGGCCCTCTGTTCTGCATCAAAGGCCGTTGCTCACACTGGACCTTTGAAGTCAGGCAATATTTCGAGTTGGTGGGATTTAGTGTTTACTCATCAAAAGCACTGAAAAACTCATACCGGTGCGGATATGACTCACCGAAATCAAACCCTCCAATGTCAAGGTCAGACACAGTGTTCTTTTTATTTAGAAAAAGGAAACAAAACTTTTCTTGGCTCTAAGTTTAAACTGTTATATTAAGATTCCAGTGAGTGGGTAAAGGGCCTCCTAGACATTTGCTTAGTCATCACCTGACTTTTCCCTCCTCTGATGGGTCCTCAACTATGTTCACATACTAAAGAGGATGATGATTCTGTGAGCATCTGTAACGTGGTTTCTGCTCTGCACCTTTCATTCATGAATCTTCCCATCATCATGTTTTAAAGAACCATTGCCCAAGTTTTCCAGCACCAGAGCTGATGGTAATCTTGAGATCCTAAAATGTTTCCTTCAAGCAGTTCAAAAGTTTGGCCTCACTGCCGCTTCTCTGTTTTCAGGAGAAAGGCATGGGAATTTACAAGTTACCAAAAGGTGGCATTTCTATTAGGAAATTATTTTCTTTCATGTTTTAAGTTTGGGACTTAAGCATCAGCGATTCCAGGATGTGAAGGTCCCACAGGCCACCGTTGTCCTGATGTTTACTGCTCATGCCGCCTTCTGCAGGGAGTTTCAGATTGGTTTGATCACAACCCCGAGTGAGAAAAACGTTTTACATTTTGGCCCTACATAACGCACACTCAACTGAAAACATCTTTTATAAACTACTGTTTATCCTTACTTTGCGTGATGCACTTTGATGTTTTCTGAACTATTCTTTATTCTTTTAGTTTCTAATCACAACTCAGCAAATTAATTTCATGACCTATTAATGGGCCTCAAGTGACAATTGGAAAACTTTGATTTCAGGGGATCAGGTTGTGCCTCCAATCCAGGAAAGAAAAGTGGAACAAAAACATGAATGGGAGAGAGAAGTGAAAGACAGGCTGACTGTGAGGGTGATGGAGGGTGTGGGCTAGTTTTCCTTCCCCTTTCTTCCCATCCTAGGCAGCCCATGACACCCTGAGCAGCTCCTGGAATTTAGCTCTCGTTTGCTGTTGACACCAATGCTTGTCTGGCTGAAAGATGTGCCTCAAAGTAGAAAAAACTAGGACTGGGGTGATAGAGTGGGGCTAGCATTTTTTCATGATTTTTCTTATACAAAAGTTTGGGTGAGGGAGGGAGAGAACCCCACATGCAAAGAAATAACCATGGTCCCCTTTATGTTTTGCTTTGCTTTTATCTTGCAAGGTGTAAAATAAGTGGGAGGCTAGGAAAAGACATTTATAACATGTAAGAGACAAAAGTTCAGAAGTTAGCATCGAGAATCTATGAATCACTCCTACAAGTGATTTTCTAAAGATCTGAAACACAACATGCAAAGGATGTAAAGAGGTGGCTCACGGAAGGGCTGTTTTGAGTAGTAAATTCACTGATACATTTAAAGAACCTAGAACAAGGCCTAAGTTCAGAGAAGGGGCTCAGTAAACATCAGCTATTGTTATTTTTAAAATATCTTTGTTGAGGTGTAATTTACATAGCAAAACATTCACCCATTTTTTAAAATTATTTATTTATTTATTTATTTATTTTTGGCTGTGTTGGGTCTTCGTTTTCTGGGCGAGGGCTTTCTCTAGTTGTGGCGAGCGGGGGCCACTCTTCATCGCGGTGCGCGGGCCTCTCACTATCGCGGCCTCTCTTGTTGCGGAGCACAGGCTCCAGACGCGCAGGCTCAGTAGTTGTGGCTCACGGGCCCAGTTGCTCCGCGGCATGTGGGATCTTCCCAGACCAGGGCTCGAACCCGTCTCCCCCACATTGGCAGGCAGATTCTCAACCACTGCGCCACCAGGGAAGCCCCATTCACCCACTTTAACTGTACAATTCAATGATTTTTAGTAGATGTACTGAGTTGTGCAGCCGCAACAGTCCAGCAACAGAACATTTCCATCATCTGAAAATATTTCCTTGTGTCCATTTGCCATTGTCACTTCATGTCCCCAGCTCTCAGACTCAGAAGACCACTAATCTTCATTCTGTCTCTAGAGGTTTGCCTTTTCTGGATAGCTCACAGAAAGAGAATCATACGTTAGGTAGTCTATTGTGTCTGCAGTGTTAACTATTATTATTATTACTTTAAAAAATCATTATTAAAACATTTTAGTCAATTGAATGGTTTTGGGGGACACTCTTTTTAAAAAAACCAGTGAACTATATTTTCTCCAGGGAACATTTATAATGTCAACTCTGTATGACGTTGCAAAGGGAAGTTTCACTGTGGTACACGGAATAAACAAATAAACTTTTCCTAAATTCTTTGGGAACAGACTATAAGCTGGAATCGTCCTCTCCTAGGACCCACGCTAGCCCAAGGGCCCGTCGTTCCTGGATCACCAGACTTGGGGCCAACTCTTCACACCGCTTCAAAGAGGGATTCTTTTTTTTTTTTCATATTCTTTTTCATATTCTTTTCCATTATGGTTTATTACATGATATTGAATATAGTTCCCCGTGCTCTGTAGTAGGACCTTGTTGTTTCAAAGAGCGATCCTTCACAGACACTGTGCCTTGCTTTTTTTCCTTTCTTAGACAAGGACATAATTTACTTTCCTATCATTTCTCTTTCTCTTTGTAAATACACAAACGGAATACTAGAACGTTATGAAGTTGGGTGGTGCGGTTTAGCTGGACTCTCTCCTGAACTTAATCTTCCATCAGGTAATTCCTGGTCTTTACCTGTGTGAGTCCCAGTATGGCATTTGAGAAGAGGCTCCCTTCGATTAAGGAATGTGGGACCTCAAGTGGGGAGAGAAACTCCCTCTATGGCCTGTCCCAGGACCTGGCCCAGGGAGCCCTGCTGTCTTCACCCTGGCATCTCTCCTCCTCCGTTTGTGTCCTTAGTGTAATTCCTGGGTCTTTGCACTTGTTGACCCTCTTTCTGCAGAGGATTTTGCAGGGTCAGAGAGCCCATGGCAGGTAGGGCCATCCCGACTCTCCCCTTCCTGGGGTGCAGCCCCACGGGAGATGGGACCTGGCCGGGACGCGGGCAGTGCTTACTGATTCTTTCTGAGGAAGCTGATGGTGCCACCGATTTTTGTTTCTGCTTCAGATGAATTAAAAAACAAAACTGTGTGTGAAGACCATGAGCTGAAACTGCACTGCCACGAATCCAAGTTTCTCAACATCTACTCAGCGACCTATGGCAGAAAGACCCAGGAGAGGGACATCTGCTCCTCGGAAGCCACGTGGCTCCCCCCCTTTGGTATGTGTCTTTATGTGGCTGTTCTCAGGGTGCTGTCGGAGGAGATGAGGGCTCCGGTCCCTAAGGAAGGAGGCCACGCGCTGGCTGGTACCTGGCCTAGAGGGAAAGTCAAGGGCAGGGGGAAACCACCCCTCAGGGTCCTGTCTCCCTCTGCCCCACATTCTGGAATTCGTCAGTTGTTCAGTTAGTCTACACCAAGTATTTACTGAGCACCTGCTGTATGCAGGGCCTGTTGTAGGCATGGGGGAGTCATCAGCGACCAGCACAGAGTCTCCCTGGAGCTGACCTTCCAGCAGTGGATGAGGAGGCAATGAGAAAGCAGATAATAAATGAGCTAATGTGTCGCACTTCCGGTGCACATAAGCATTACAGGGAAAAGCACATGACGGAGGGAGGGAGGGAGGGAGGGAAGGACGGAGAGCACGCGGGAGGACGCTGCAGGGAGGCACAGTGTTGTGGAGCGATGGGTGTGCTGAGCAGAGACTCGGAGGGGCAGAGCCTGCAGGTCCTGGGGACGGCGTCCAGGCGGGGAAAAGAGCCCATGCTAAGGCCCTGAGGCTATGTTCAGGGTGGAGCAGGGCTCAGCAAGTCATTCTTAGAAGTCCGCAGTTTGGAGCTAAGGTGATGGCCCGACACGCCTGAGAGCTCCACCCTTCAAAGTCACCCTCTATTATAATTAGGGTTCTCCAGAGAAACGGAACCAATAGGAGATAGATAGGTGGATAGATAGATGGATAGATAGATGATAGGTAGATTGATAGATAGATAGATGATAGGTAGATAGATAGATAATAGATGATAGGTAGATTGATAGATAATTGATAGGTAGATGATAGGTAGATTGATAGATAGATGATAGATAGATAGATGATAGGTAGATAGATAATAGATGATAGATAGATAGATAGATAGATAGATAGATAGATAGATAGATAGACTGATTTTAAAGAATTGGCTCACACATTTGTGGAGGTTGGCAAATTTGAAACCTGCAGGGCAGGCTGGCAGTCTGAAAACTCAGGTAAGAGTCGATGTTCAGTCTTGAGTTTAGATTCCGCAGGACAGCAGGCTGGAAGCCCTGGCAGAAGTTCTGTGTTGTGGCCTGGAGAAGAGCTCGTTTTCCAGATGTGACCCCAGTCTTTGCACTTAAGGCCTTCCGTGCATTGGTCGAGGTCCACCCACGTTATGGAGGGTGATCTGCATTACTCAAAGTCTGCTGATTTACTGTTAGTCATATCTTTTTTTTTTTTAAATTGAGGTATAGTCGATTTACAATGTTTCAGGTGTATATATATGTGTGTGTGTGCGTGTGTATTCTTTTTCAAATTCATTTCCATTATAGGTTATTACAAGATATTGAATAGTTCCCTGTGCTCTACAGTAGGTCTTTGATGTTTGTCTGTTGTATATATAGTGGTGTGTATCTGTTAATCGCAAGTTCCCAATTTATCCCTCCCCCACTTTCCCCTTTAGTAACCATAAGTTTATTTTCTATGTCTAATGTTAGTTGTATCTTAAAAATACCTTCCCAATAACATCTAGACTGGTGTCTGACCAAACCACTGGGCACTGTAGCCTAGCCAAAATGACACATGAAATTAACCATCACACGCCCTGATCTGCAGTGGTGAAACGGCCTCAGCTCCACCCGCTGTGTTACCAGAGAGAACAGACTGGTTGTGAAACAGCCCAAGAAGTTGCACTTTATTCATCAAACCTGAAATGAGCTCCTTAATGTGTTAAATTGCTGCAATTGATTCCTGGATCACATGTGAAATTAAACATTAATTTAAAAAAGAAGTTTATACATAACTAATATCTTGGATCTGGGAAAAAAAAAAAAAAAGAAGAATGTAAAGTGACCTAGCTACACAGGCACACTCTCAGGCAAGGCTGGAGAGAGAACCAAAAAGCAATTCACAAGGAACACGTGTCACACGTGTCTCCGAGGCCCCTCGCCCAGCGTTCAGGGAAGGAAGGCCCTTGCGTCGGGAAGGTAGAAGGTCATCTGAAGGACAGCCGAGGCAGACAGCAGAAGCAGGCTGAAGTGGGCATCCGGCCGCTCTTAATTAGCTCCCGTCTTAACAGGCTTGCCTGCCACGTGGGCAGAGAGACCCTTGTGAGGGTGGCTCCTGCTGTCTGTCTGTAGCGCCCGGTGCTCCAGCGAGTGACTTGTGAGTTTGGAAACTCCATTCTCCCTCCCATATAACATCTCCCCGTGTTCACAATGTCTCCACCCCCTTCTCCCTTGTTCCTGCTGCTGCGTTAGGTCAAAGGACCATTGCCTGGTCATCGCAGGAGTCCCCCTGTCCCTAGGCATGGCTTTCTCCCCTGGGTGGCCGGAGGTACCTTCTAGAAGGCAAATCTGATCACTGCCCTCCTGAACATCCTGCAGGGGCTCCCTGTATTATCTGGTTTGCTTAGCTGGACAAGGCACCCTTGGTGATCTGATCTCTTTCGACAGAAAGCAACTGAACTTCTTAATATCAGTGTGGGACATCCCATTTCTTGGGCTCACTGAGTCTAGCTTAGCCATGTGTGTTTTGGGAGACAGCAATAAGTAACATCTATCTTAGGAGTTCTTTTGAGCAGAAGTTGGTCAGCCAGGTAGGTAGATCTGTGTGCAGGCTGAATGACTGACGTTCCGTACGTCACTGCCTTAGGTTCCTGGGAGGTTGGATGGGAGTTGGGTTTAAAGGGAAAAGTCATCAGCCAAAGAAAACGTTAGCAGACCCCGTGGTTAAAAGACAGGTTTCCATAGAGAGTTCAGGGAATCCTCAGGTCAGCCGTGAATAAACCTTGTTGACTCAGGAGTCCGCCTGCCGATGCAGGGGATACGGGTTCGTGCCCCGGTCCGGGAGGATCCCACATGCCGCGGAGCGGCTGGGCCCGTGAGCCATGGGCGCTGAGCTTGCGCGTCCGGCAACGGGAAAGGCCACGACAGTGAGAGGCCCACATATCGCA